CCAGCCACATCCCTGCCTGTCCTCACAGGACTGAGCTGTGCTGCCCTGCCTGTGTTGGCTTCTACCGCTGGGTGATGGTGCTGGTCACTGGGGGCATCGCTGTCGCCGCTGTCACCACCCTCTGCTCCATCATGGTGTGGCCCATCCGGATCCGCTGCCGTGAGTGGGGCTGGGGGCTTTGGGGCAGCCCAGCGTGGGGCTGGGGGCACTGGGAGCACTGTGGTCAGTGCCAGCCTGGGCTAAAGCCACAGTGTCTTTGCAGATGGCCCCAGTGGGGCAGTGGTGGGAGCGCTATTGTTACTGGGCTGGCTTGTGGCTATGCTTGCAGGGGAGTCCTCATGGTAGGACACAGGGCAGGGCCATTGTCCCACTTCCCTGCCACCCCCAGAGGGGCTCTGTTTGCTTGCTGGGCCTTTCTGGGGGGCAGCACCCCCTGGCCCAGTTATGGCCACATTGGCTCTGGGGCTCCAAGGGGTGTCAGGGTGTGGCAGCAAATGTGGGGTGCCCTTTGCCAGGCTGGGGAGCCAACACCTCTGCTCAGTGCCTGTTCTGCCTCTCGGGGTGCCAGTGCCTCTCTGTGGGGTGGGGAAACAGGACAGACCCCTTGTACTGCTTGCGCCCCTGCCGGGTCAGGCCCCTGGTGCTAGCAGGAGAGTCCAGGAGGGCCAGGCCAGCACGTGAGGGTCACCCCACACTGCCATCTCTCCTGACCTGTCCCTTTCTCTTCTTCCTCCAGGTGCTGTCAGCCTGCAGGGGCTGAGGAGCACGAGGACCCCTGAAAGTGGCACTGGGAGCACTGAGGGAGAGAGCCACAGCAGCACTGTCAACTGAGCGGGGCTGTGTCCTTGGCCACCGTGTCCTCAGGGCTGTGTCCCCAGGGCTGTGTCCTCAGCCACCACGTCCTGGGCCACCGACATCACGGTGCCACACTCTGAGTCTGGAGGGTCCCCCGCACTGGGGGCCACTGGGCTCTGGGGAGGGGGTGACCCCACCCCGTCTCCTTGCACTGGACTCGTATTCCCACCCTGACCTCATGTCCCCATCCTGGACTCTGGTGTCCCATGAAGGCTGTCCCTGGTGCGGTGTCACCGGTGCAGGGTCACCTGTCACCTCTCACCTGCACAATGAACACTAGAAGGGCCTAGGCCAGGCCGGGGCGGCCCCAGAAGAGGGGAGCGCTCGGGGTGGCCCGAGGTTTTAACCTGCTTTTGTAAGGTCAATACGTACAAACGGCACTTTATAAAGGAGGAGAAAAAGAAAAGAAAAAAACCGCAGCGCTGATGGCTCCGGCTTGGGAGTGGGGGCTGCGGGACCCACAGCAGGGGTCGGAGCGGGTTTGGGGGGCTCGGGGGGGCCCAGCGCGGCTCCCGCCCGGCCCGGGCGGAGGGGCGGCCTGAGGGCCGGGCGGGGGGGGGGTGGGGCAGGGACGGGCCCTCAACGGCCATGGCAGCTCCGCGCGGAACGGAGCGCGCGCAGCGCTGGGGGCCGGGGATTGGTCCGTGCGAGGGCCCCGCCCCCGGGACGGGACAGCCAATGGGAGAGGGCCATGCGCGGAGGGGGCGGGGACTGAAGGGGGAGTGTGAGTGTGACCCTGTGTGTGTGTGTGTGTGTGTGTGTGTGTGTGTGTGTGTGTGTGTGTGTGTGTGTGTGTGTGTGTGTGTGTGAGAGAGAGAGAGAGACACTGTGTGTGTGTGTGTGTGTGTGTGTGTGTGTGTGTGTGTGTGTAACACTGTATGTGTGTGAGAGTGTGTGAGTGTGACGCTGTGTGTGTGTGTGACACTGTGTATGTGTGTGTGTGAGTGTAACGCTGTGTGTGAGTGTGTAACACTGAGTGTGTGAGTGTGACACTGTGTGTGAGTGTGTGTAACACTGTGTGTGTGAGAGTGTATGAGTGTGACACTGTGTGTGAGTGTGTGTAACACTGTGTGTGTGAGAGTGTGTGAGTGTGACGCTGTGTGTGTGTGACACTGTGTATGTGTGTGAGTGTGAGACTGTGTGTGTGACACTGAGTGTGTGTGTGCGAGTGTGACACTGTGTGACACTGTGACTGTGTGACACTGTGTGTGTGTGTGTGTGTGTGTGTGTGTGTGTGTCCCTGTGTGTGCCCCCATGTGTGCAGGGCTGTGCTGTGTGCACAGCGGGTGTGAGTGGGAGGGTGCTGAGGTTATTCCATAACCCCTGGGATGGTTTGGGTTGGGAGAGATCTCACAGCCCTGGGAGGGACCTCATCCAGTGCCACCCCTGCCATGGCAGGGACACCTCCCACTGTCCCAGGCTGCTCCCAGCCCTGTCCAGCCTGGCCTTGGGCACTGCCAGGGATGCAGGGGCAGCCCCAGCTGCTCTGGGCACCCTGGGCCAGGGCCTGCCCACCCTCACAGGGAACAATTCCTGATTGCCAAGATCCCATCCAGCCCTGCCCTCTCTGGCAGTGGGAGCCATTGCCTGGCTCCTGTCCCTGCAGGCCTTGTCCCCAGTCCCTCTGCAGCTCTCCTGGAGCCCCTTCAGGCCCTGCCAGGGGCTCTCAGGTGTCCCTGGAGCCTTCTCTTGTCCAGGTGAGCACCCCCAGCTGTGCCAGGCTGGCTCCATGGCAGGGATTCTCTCTGGGCCCCCGTCCGTGCCCTGTTCCCGCACCCTCAGCTCCGTGTGTGCCCCCTGGCTGGGCTGGCACGGAGCCCCTGCCGCGGGGGCTGTGGGGTCGTGTGTGCACAGAGGACACGAGTGTGGGGTGAGGGGGCTGCAGGGGGCTGGGGCGGGTGACAGGGTGTGGCCACGGGCAGAGAGGGACACCTCGAGTGTGCCCGGTGTGGGGGAATGGAACGGGATCCCGGGGGATGGGGCGGGAGCCGGGCCGGGCGGGGTGCAGCCCCTCGGGCCGGCCCGGCTTTATGGCGGTTCCTCGCCGCGGGAAGGGCCTTATCAGCCGCGGTCCAGAGAGCAGGGGCCGAGCCGGGCTGGCTCCGTGGCCTTCGCCCCTGCCCAGGGCCTGCGGCGAGGGCGCGGTCCCGGCTCTGCCCAGCGCCCCCGGCCCGGCCGTGCCCCCTCCCCACCTCCCTCTGGGGGTGCCACGGCGGAGACCCCCGGGGCGAGGGGCGGCCGTGCCCCCAGCGCTGCCCGGCCTTGGGGCAGGAGGGAGGGGAGCGGGCACCGGGCGGACGCTGCCGTGCGGTGTCTCGGCACTGCGGGATGTCCCGGGTTTGCGGGCTGCCCATGGATTGCGGGGTGCCCCCTGTGAAATCGCAGAGTGCCGCGGGACTGGGCTGTGCCGCGCTGGTTCTCAGCGCTGCTGGGGCTGGGGGCGTTTGCCGCTGTTTGGGGGCGGCTCGCTGGTCCCGCATTCCCCGGGGCCGGGCCGGGCTCACCCCACGCAGCCCCGAGGTGTCTTGGGCTGGGGCTGCCCCGGCCGCTCCCTGCGAACCTGCCGCGGCCCCGCCCGCTGCCTTTCCTCGGGAGGAGGAGGAGGAAGAGGAGGAGGTGGCAGCGGAGCAGGAACGGCGCTGGAAGCAGTGAGAGCGGGACAGCTCCAACGGGACGTGTCCCCCAGCAGGAACCTCCGGCTGTGTCCCCAGCAGGTACCGCGCGGGGCCGGCCCGGGACGGGGTTCTGGGGCCGCGCGTGGGTCTGGGGTCGCCTTCCCGCCCCCTCTGCAGCCAGGCCGGCCACGCACTCCCGCGCCCAGCGCCGTGACCCGCGCGGGCAGCCCCGGTGCGGGGATCACTTTCCCCGCCACCCGCCGATACAGGGGTCACCCCTTCCCCGTCACCCCGCTGCCCACGGGGGTCGCAGCCAGCACAGGATACCATGGGACAGGGGTCATGAGACCGGCTGAGCTCTGCTGTCCCGGTCCCGGCGTGGCCTGAGCCGTGTCCCTGTGTCCTCCCCGGTGGAGTGACAGGTTGGTGACACTGGGATCTGCCGTGCTGCAGGAATAGATTGTTCCCACAAGCCGCCCCCTCTCCCGCGGCTGTCGGACTCATCCCTGATGCCGGGGAAGCTGAGGCGCAGCAGGCGGGAGGTGCTGGGGGAGAAGCAGTGGCGGAGCGTGGAGGAGAAGGGAAGTGCCCAGCGGGAGCAGCCCAAGCTCACCAGGTGGGTGCTGCCCCTCATGGGGTCACATCCCGCACCCCAGCCCCACCTCCCACCTGTGCCCCTCGAGTCACCCCCTCCGATGCCTCCTTCCAGATCCAGGACCTATGAGTCCTCCTGCAAGGACACAGAGGAGGCGGCCGCGGGCAGTCAGGGACCCCCATCCCCCTCGGTGAGTCTTGGGGTACCGGAGCTGAGGAGCAAGACCCAGCCCCAGCTCCAGCCCCATGAGCTCGGCTGGACGCTCTCTTGGGGCGGGCACCGAGGGAGGGCTCGTCCCGGTTCCGTGGCCGGCGTGGTGACGGAACAAGGGGCTGCAGGATGCCCGCGGTGCCAGGCCGGCCCCGAGCACCGACCCCCCGACCTCCCGCAGCTGACCAAGCAGAACAGCAGCTACCACCGGGCCTTCGGGGAGCTCGCCGAGCAGGACGTGCTGCTGGGCTGCTTCTCCTGCGCCTGGCAGAGAGAAATGCCCTACCACGGCCGCCTCTACGTGTCCTCCCGCCACATCTGCTTCCACTCCAACCTCCTGCTCAAGGACATCAAGGTGGGGCTGGAGCGGGCGTGGGGCCGGCGGGGCAGGCAGGACACAGGTGCCAGCCGGGAACACGCTGACACAGCCTGTCCCCCCGGCACAGGCCGTAGTCCCTGTCGCCTCCATCTCAGCCCTCAAAAAGACCAACACGGCGCTGTTGGTGCCCAACGCAATCAGCATCCGCACGGTCAAGGGGGAGAAGGTGAGAGCGGGGACAGTGCAGGGGCAGCCTCCTCTGGGGCTATCTGGAGTGTCTCGGTCCCCGCGGGCTCTGGGCCGTGACCGAGGGGGCAGCTCTGGCACAAATCCCCTTCTCGCTCCCCGGCAGTTCCTCTTTGTGTCGCTGCGCCAGCGAGAGGCCACGTACCAGCTCCTGAGGTCGGTGTGCAAACACCTGCAGGTACGCGGGGACTGGATGGGCAGGGGGGCTCCATCCATCCGTTGCAGGGCACCTCCCTTCATCTCTCCTTGTCCAGGGCAGCGGCCAGAGCCCTCGAGACTCATTGAGCTCTGAGGAAACCCTTGGGAAGTCTCAGGTAAGGCAGGGAACGGGGAGCAGGAGGGTACAACAGGAGGAGGGGTGGTCCCAGCCCCCTGGATGGAGTGGGCTGGGTGCAGTGGCTGGGAAGATGTGGGGGGGGGGGAACATGAAAAGCCCCAGCCCGAGGCAGCGCAGACTCCGGGACCCTCCCTACCTGTGGGTGACACAGGTCCCATCAGGTTCTGCCCATGTCCCCATGGCAGTGGGGCAGGTGCCTCGGGGACACATATCGTGACTGGGGCTTGTCCTCTTCCAGATCTCGAGCCAGTCAGCCCTGGAGCAGAGCACCCCGGAGCCCAACAGCCTCCCCGAATCCCTGGGTGAGCGGCGGCCCCGGTGCCCTCCCCTGTCCCCGCCCGCAGCCGTGCCCCATGGGCAGCTCTGGGCTCTGCTCCTCCCCACACACGCCTGGTCTGGGGGAGACTGAGCGGCCCTCGCCCCCCCCGACCAGCATCCCCACAGCTCCAGGGAGTGCAGGATCAGCACTTTGTGGCCCCGTGTGCCCCCAGGACACACAGACCCCTCCCTGGGGCATTCATCAAGTGTCTTCTGGTCACCTACAGATGAGCCCAACCCAAGATCAAGGCAGGCAGAGGATGAGGATGGTGAGGTGGCCCTGCTGGTTCCCAGATGGGTGCCCTCAGCAGAGAAACACGGCCTCTGGGGTGGGTCAGGGGGCTCGGGATGGGGGGATGATCCTGGGGGTTTACACCCTGGTAGAGCCGAGCACGGACTCTCAGTGCCACTAACATTGCCTTGTCCTGGCAGGGAGAGCCAACGCCGTGCTCTGGGCCTGGGGCACTGCACTTTGGTCCCGAATAAACCCCCAGCTGAGCTCTCTCAACATCATCATCATCATCTACCTGCTGCTGTGAGTCCCCAGGACCTACTCCCAGCCCCAATCCCCATCCCTACCGACACAGCCTCTCCATGGACAGGCCAGGGCTGTGTTCCCCGCAGTTCCTCTCAGACCCCCATCCCCAGGGAGAGCACACGGGGGCCTGGCCGTGGCACTGCTACTGCCCCATGTGCCACCCTGTGCCCCCTGGCTGACGCTGGCCTGTCCCCAGCATGGTGGCCTTGCTGCTGTCCTCGGGGTACATTGGCCTGCGCATCGCGGAGCTGGAGCAGCAGCTGTCCTTCGCGGGGGCTGAGCCACATCTCAACCTGTCACCGCAGTGAGTAGGGGACATGGGGGGCCCTGTCCCCAGCACAGGCTCCTCCTCACCCTGCCTTCCCCCAGGTACAAGAGAACGTGAGGCCACTGAGGACCATCAGCAGCGCTCCAGCCGGGGCTCAGGGGCTGCTCTGAGCCCATCCCTGGCCTCTCGGGGCGGCTCTGTCACCAAGTGCCTTCCAGCTCCCCACGCTGCCTGGGAAACCCACGGGCTGAGAGGCTCCATCTCTCCCTGTCTGCCCACCCTGAGCAGCAGCAGAAGAGATCCAGGGAGCTCCTGGCAGGGCAGAGAGCAGGGAAGGGGGGCTGGAGTCAGCAGCAACCCCCAGCCAGCCCTCCCTGCCCAGAGGGAGAGGGGGTCAAGCCCCAGGCAAGGCACGGGCACAGAGAACAGAATATTTTATTAATAAAGATTAGTAAAAATCTACATTATTTTAATACTTATTATTTGCTGGGCCAGATGCCACAGGATGAGCACAAACTAGTCCCCCATGCAGCCCCTGCTTCCCAGAACAGACCAGGACCCAGAGCTTTGACTCTGACTGGTGTGGGGAGGCAGCTCCAGGTGCTGATGTCCCAGGGGTACAGGGAGCAGCAGAAGACCCTGAGCAGCCCCCTGGGGCACTGGCTGCTGGTGATGATGGGAGGTGGGGGAGCACCAGGGAGCCCCAGGGCCCTGCAGCTGGCCAGGCCCTGGCTGTTACCCTGCTCCTTCCCCAGGACAGGGTTCAGCTGCCAGAGGAAGGTGTAGGGTCACAGGTACACGGGGGGGACAATGGGTTCCCACAGGCTCTGAGCATAAACTGGGAATGAGAGGAGAGCTGGAGGCAGAGCAGAATCTGCACCCCACAAAACAATCCACCAGCCCAAAATCCTGGAGTTTAATCCCTTTCTAGGCCAGTTAAGGGGCCCTGGGGCTTCCCCCAAGCACCAAGATAGGGAAACGGAGGCACTGTCAACTCCTTTCTCTGTGCTATTTCCTAGGCCATCCCTTCCTCAGACCTGCAGCTCAGCTCAGCTCCTGGGGCAGCAGCAGTGGGAGATGCCAAGGTCAGGGATCTTGGCTCTCCTGCTGCCCAGCCCCACGGAGCAGCTCAACCCCACAGCACCAGCCCGAGGGGGTTCTTCCAGCAGCAGGCCTGGGACAAGGCACAGGTCTGTGGGCACAGGGCTGTACCCCACTGGAGAGGTCCCCTCCCCCCCCATGAGGGTCCCACCTGCGTGGGGACAGCAGGACTGAGGGGCTCTGCACCCCCAGCCTCATTGCAGCTATAGCCTGGCAACTACCCCACACCAAGGAGGGGCTGTGCCAGGCCAGGGACCCCTTTTCCTCCTTCCTGCCATGCCTGGGGCACAGGGCAGGGCAGGGAGGGTGGCTGTGCCCTTTCCCAGCAGCAGGAAAGCAAACAGGAGCAGGAAGCTGGGAGCAATAAACAGGTGAGATCTGTGCCAAGAAAGCTGGTACCTGCAGAGGTGGGGTGGGGACCCTGGGGACTTACTGCAGCCTTCGCTGTGGAGAAGCAAAGTGGAGCCATGGAGACCAATCCCAGTAAATTCATAACCTGTTTAATGACAGTTCAATTGCTTTACATGAAAAAGTTACAGCGTGCTCCATGTTTGTTTTCCATCACATGACACCTGGGATACAACGATGCTGTCACCCAGCTCTGGGAGGACCCTGTGCTCGAGCCAGTGCCCACGGGTCACACACACTGACACATCACCTCGGCTCTGCCCTTTTCTCTCTTGAGCAGCAGGTGACAGTGACAGTAACACCCTGAGACACTTGCACAAACCCACCTGCACACGGATACAACTGGGAGCCCCTGCCTGGCAGCAAGGCAGAGAAGGTGGCGGTACCGGGCTGACAGCGAGGTCAGGGTGAGCAGCCTGTTCCTGCCATGCTCTGTCACCAACACGTGTGGCCACACAACAGCCCTGGCCTGGCAACCACTAACCCTGGCCTGGCAAGCACCAGCCCCCCTGCCAAGTGCAGTACACGAGCCAACCTTCTCCCAAGGCAGATAGAAAAGCGAGATGTAGACACAAGATGCAGTTTGGGAAAGTCCTTGGCAAGAAGGGACAATGGTGGGGGACAGAGCAATGAGGAGCTACCCCTGCTGTGCAGCTGGGAGCACTGGGCAGTGCCTGCAGTTCCCCCCTGGCACTGCCCACCCCACAGCACTGCCACTCCCCCCAGCATCTTCTGGGACTCCTTGAGGAAGTTCCCCCATCACAGGGGGAGAGGCGATTCCACTCCTGTGGAGTCCCAGGGTGCTGGGGAACCCAAACATCACCACACTCACCATACACCCCAGCTGGGTGCCCTGCTCCCTCCTACTCCAGAATGGGCTGAGCCCTCCTGTGCGCCCCCAGCCCAAGCACCTCCACCCTGCCAGAGGAGAAAGCAGTGTGTCCTGGGGGTCTGCACAGTGCTATTTAGGCAATCCACAACAGGAAAATCCACAGCACAGCCACCAGGCTCCCCAGCCCCCCTGAATGGCCCTTTCCCCAGGTGATGACACCCACAACAGAGCATCTCTTCCTGCAGATGGCCCTTTACTTCAAACCCATTCCTCAACTGAATGATCCAACTCAATTTAACACCTCCTGGGTGCTTTGGGGTGCTCCCAACCCACAGTGATGTGGAACAGAGCCCACAAGTGGAACAAACAACACAAGACAGGCCTGGGGGTGACTTCAAACCACGCCTCACATCCCATGGCCAGAGCTACACTAAAGCAGTTGCACTTAAACAGTGTTTCAGAAACTCCATGGTAATTTCATTTTGGTGGCAAGTGAGACTGTGAGATGACAAAGTGGCCTGTGGGCCTGGCAGACTCGGAGCTGGCAGGGGGCTCCCAGCACCAGCTCCTCACCAGTGACTGCCAGTGTGTGTGACACAGGCACAGCACCAGCAGCCTGATCCCAGCACCAGCTCCTCACCAGTGACTGCCAGTGTGTGTGACACAGGCACAGCACCAGCAGCCTGATCCCAGCACCAGCTCCTCACCAGTGACTGCCAGTGTGTGTGACACAGGCACAGCACCAGCAGCCTGATCCCAGCACCAGCTCCTCACCAGTGACTGCCAGTGTGTGTGACACAGGCACAGCACCAGCAGCCTGATCAGGCATGGGCATGGTGGCACACGTGGTCCAGGCTGCACTGGCCTTCTCACACCTGGGCACACCCTAAGGATACTGGTGGGACTGGGGACAGGCAATCATATTCCTACCACCTGGTTTTAGGGAAAGAAGGGAGAGCAGACAAAACAACAAAGGAAAAAAAAAAAAAGAAAGGGAAAGCATTACCTATGCAATCTACAGGGAGAAGACAAGTCTATATACACAGCCAGAGAATTCCACATGGGAACAGGAAGCAACACTCAGAGAGGGCAAGGAGGCAGGCAGGGGCTGGGCAAGGCAGGCACAGGCACAGGTCAGATGGAACAGGCTGTGCAGCCTGACAGCTTCTCTTAAATTAAAAGCACCACACACACACACACACACACACACACACACAGAGCATTTGTGATACACCCCATGGGCTCCAACACCAGCCAGAACTCTCGTCCCACACAACCTAAAAACCCCAAACCACACACCAAAACTCAACAGCAGGGCCCTGTGTGGGACTTGGAGATAACAAAAAAGCAACGCTGCAGCCCTGCTTCAGGAGAACCCCTCTTCCAGCCAGAAGAGGCCCTGCTCACCCCAAAAATCAGATCTTTAGGATTTATTTTTTTTCTCAAACACATCCCAACTGCTTTTGGCCTCATGGAGACTCCAGAGCAAGGCACCCACACAGCAGCACCAAAGGAAGCTCCACATGCACAGGTGGTTGGGTGGGTTTCTTTTTTTATAAAGTCCTTGCTTCTGCTCTCTGGTAACTCCCAGGATCAGCCCAGAAGATGAAACAGCAACTGCAGAACTTCACGAATCTGCTCCCTTAGAGGTGAAGTTTTTTCAAGTCTCCTCCAAAGTCTAGAGCCACAAAGTGTATTTGTTCGGAGGCAGCTGTCAAGCATGCCCAAAAAATCAAGCTGTCTTATGGAATGATCATGTCAAGTACTACAGTACCTGTCTGGGGGGAAAAATAAAGAAAAAAAAGGAAAATAGGCAGTTCTCCAGTTTCTTCCTGGAATGGGGATACCAGGCTATGAACAAAGCCCTTAGATGCCCAGCCTGGAGCTGTGCCCCTCGCACCAGCTGTACCGGAGCAGCCTGGCTGGCTCCTGCCTCCAGAGATGGCACTCTGGGACACAGGGCAGCACGTCAAACCCCTTCCCACAGCAGCAAGGATATGCTCCTCTCTCGCAGGAGGCACACCATGGCAGTGGGATGGCCTCGGTCCAGTCTCAATGGTCCATGTCACACGAGTCCTCCCCAGCACCATCCCGACGGGAGGAGGATGCAGGGTTAACATTGCTCTTGTACCCGTTTCCCTTTATGAAGGATGAATCCAATAACCTTTGGCAGTTCCCTCCCCTCCCCACCCCATCCCAAATACTGCCCAGCCCTGTGGGTCACAAGCACATATTTAATGAGCTGGGTCCTCCTGCAGTCCCACAGCTCTCCCTCCCCTTGGCTGGGCTCCGGAGGTCCATGCACGCCGAGGGAGTGGTCTGATCCTGGAATGTCAGGCTGTAGGTTCCTGGGGCACAGGGAGGGGGTTTATCGTATCCTGGTGAAGAGGTTGAGCACAGATACAGACTCCTGACAAGGGAACACAAAGCAGGGGGTAAATAGCTGTTACTCCACATGCTTCTGGGTTGGTTTGTTTTTAACCTGGTATCTCTAGCTCAGGGCACGATTCCAGCTCACAAATCAAAGTCCAACACCATAAATATTCCCATGGGTTTTTTCCAAATGGTAACATGTGTGCAACTGGCCAGAGTGCCATTTCCAGAGCTCTGCAGGCAGGTGTACCCCAGAGAGGGCAAGAACTGGGAGACGCCCGGGATCAATGCCGGCTCGTCGCAGTCCCCTCCTCCAAATTCCCTCTGCCAGGGATCCAAGACAGTTCTCAGAGCATCAGACACAATCTGCTTTTGGTGATGCCAAGTTGTCACTGGCAGAATCCATGATCCCATTTTCATCCAAACCCCCATTTTAAGCAGTTTTGTAAAGAGGCAGGGGATAATCATGGAATCACAGAATGGTTTGGGCCTCAAGGGGCCTTAAAATTCATCTCCTTCCACCCTCTGCCATGGGCTGCTCCAAGTCCTATCCAACCTCGCCTTGGATCTTCCAGGGATCCAGGGGCAGCCACAGCTGCTCTAGGAAACTTGTGCAGGGGCCTCTCCACCCTCACAGGTAACAATTCCTTCCCAATATCCCATCTAACCCTGTCCTCTGGCACTGGGAAGCCATTTCCCCTTGTCCTGTCCCTCCAGGCCCTGGTGCAAAGTCCCTCTCCAGCTCTCCTGGAGCCCCTTTAGGCACTAAAAGGAGCTGTAAGGTCTCCCTGGAACCTTCTCTTCTTCAGCTGGACACCCCCAGCTCTCCCAGCCTGCTGTCACCCGAGGGCTCAGCTGCTCTGCTCTGCTCAGCAGCCTAGAGAGGGATGTTGTGTCACACCAGCCTTGGGCACAAAGGGCAACCTTTTACTTAAATCTCAGCAAAGTTGAATCCTTCACTGCCCCAGCCCTTGATCTGCAGGAAGGGATCAGGGAGGAGGCAGCAGAGCAGAGCCAGTGTGGCCTGAGCTGCCCCAGGCAGCAGCCCCCATGCCTGGCCTTACCTTTGTCGAGCGAGTTTTACTGAAGACGTTCCAGAAGCGTAAGGTTTCGTCTCCAGCTCCTGTGACAATGGCCTCCCCATCAGGGGACATTGCCTAAGGACAAGACAACAACCTTTAGCACCTGTCACATTTTTGAGGCTGAAAACAAGACTTAGTTGGAATGCAGGAGAGATTTAACTGTCCTTCCTACTCGTGGTGAGAAGCCAGCTACCTCCACTTTCAGGTGCCTCATGAAGCCTCAGGTGCAATTTGGGCCCTGGCACCTTATGGTGCAGCTGTGGAACACATGGGGGGAGTGTTGTGGAAAGAATACTTGTGTTAAGAAACCCAAGCCATGTGTAACTGAGGCTGTTCCTCCCAGGATTATCAACCTGCCTGAAGGCAGGAAGATGATATGACTGGATTTTCTGGCTGTATTGGTTGCTTACATTGGGATCTACCTCCCAAAACATTATCAGCATCTGTCAGCTCCATCATGAACTGCTGACACCCCCATGTAACAGTAACAGCAGATATGAGATGGATCAGGATTACCCGCAACAAATGTTGAATTCCCTGGGCAGCAGTCATCAGTGAAGAGGTGTGAAAGTCTTCTGGGAGCAAGGAGAGAAGCTTGTGTTTCATAAAATCACAGAATCCCAGAATGCTTTGGGTTGGAGGGGACCTTAAAGCACATCTCATTCTTCTCCCTTCCACTATCCCAGGTTGCTCCAAGCCCAGTCCATCCTGGCCTTGGACACTACCAGGGATCCAGGGGCAGCCCCAGCTGCTCTGGGCACCCTGTGCCAGGGCCTGCCCACCGTCACAGGAAGAATTTCTTCCCAATATCCCATCTAACCCTGCCCTGTGGGAGTCTGCAGCCATTCCCCCCTTGTCCTGCTATTCCAGATCCTTTTCCAAAGTTCCTCTACAGGTCTCCTGGAGCCTCTGAGGCACTGGAAGGTCTCCCTGGAGCCTTCTCTTCTCTAGGCTCAAAAGCATTTTCTTAGAAGAAAACTCAGATGTTTCCTCAGGAGAGTTTGGCAGGCTTTACTATCATTAACAAAGCCTCACATTTCCATAGCAGCAAATCCAAGTGTCCCTTGCAGGCACGGAAATGTGTCAGAGTTTTGCAGTGCTCATGGGGAGCGTTCACATTCCCGCCCAGGCAACTTATGGTGCCACTGGCACTGCTGCTTTGGGTGCCAGCTGGGCACACCTACAGTAGCCAGGTGAGCAGCCAGAGCCACGGCCATCACTCACCAGGTACAGGACTCGATAAGAGTGCCCTGTGAGCTTTGCTACTTGAGTTAGCGAGGGGTATTTCCAGACGAGGATCTGGTTCTGGGAGTATCCGTGGGTGCTAACCTGAAAGGGGAGAGGGGAACATGAATCATAGAATCATGCAATCGTTAAGGCTGGAAAAGACCTCCAAGATCATCAAGTCCAACAGTCTACAGACTACACCACTGCTCTGGGCAGCCCATTCCAGGCCTGACCATCAGGAAAAAATTTTCCCAATATTCAATCTAAACCTCTCCTGGTGCAACTTGAGGCCATTTCTTCTTGTGCTGTCACTTGTTACCTGGAAGAAGAGCCTGAATTCCACCTGGCTCCACCCTCCTGTCAGAGGAAGAGAAGGTGCCCCCTGAGCCTCTTTCTTTCCAGGCTGGAGCCCCTCAGCTGCTCCTCAATAGATTTGTACTCCAGCCCCTTCCCCAGCTCTGTTCCCTTCTGCAGACATGCTCCAGCCCCTCACTGTCTTTCTTGTTGTGAGGGACCCCAGCACCTGAGGTGCCTCAGCAGTGCCCAGAACAGGGGGGCAGTCACTGCCCTGGTCCTGCTGGCCACACCCTTGCTGGTACAAGCTGGGATGCCCTTGGCCTCCTTGCCCACCCGGGCACACCTGGCTCATGCTCCCCACGCTCCCCAGCACAGGAAGGACTCACCAGCTCGTTGGCGTGTTTGGACCAGGCCAGGTTGCACACCTGGGAGCCGGTGTCGATGCACTGCAGGGGCTGCCCCGTCAGCGTGTTCCAGAAGCGGATGCAGCGGTCGGCTGTGCCCCCGCCCGAGGCCAGCAGCCCGTGCTGGTGTGGGGACCAGGCGATGGCTTTGACTGCTGCCAGGTGCTCTGTGTATTGCTGGACGGGACTCAGGCTGGAGTGATTCCAGACAAGGAGCTGGCAGAGAGAAGAGACATGATCAAACCTGTGCCTCAGCCATGTGTCCATTACACCCATGAGGCACAATGGGACTGATGAAGGTAGCTGGGCAACAAGCTGATTTCCCATAGCTCTGCTCAGACATGCACAGCTCCACTCTGCACTTCACAGAATCATGGAATGGCTTGGGTTGGTTCAAGCTCATTCAGTTCAAATCCCTGCCAAGGGCAGAGACACCCTTTAGCAGACCAGGTTGCTCTTAGCCCCATCCGACCTGGCCTTGAACACTTCCAGGGATGGGGCAGTCACAACCACCCTGACACCACACTCAGCTGAGGAGCTGTCCTAACCCCAAGCCATGTGGCAGGAACAGGCCCTAAGATAAGGGAATAAATCTAAAGAAACAGCATCACTGAAGGGGGCCTCAGACCCTGCTGTTGTCTTTCTGGCTGTATCATTCCAGAACACATCCAGGAATCTGCTCAGCTCATTAGGAGTTATTCTGAGCAGGAGGAACTCAGTCCAACCATGCTGTCACACAGGCACTGGGCACATTCCTACCTAGCAACCCGCTCCAAAGGGCTTGGAACCTGCTTTTTTGTGACAGATGCTTCTCCCATATGGTGCTCAGTGAGCTGCAAGCCTGCACTACAGGTATGAGAACTCACAGAGCTCTACCTCAGGTTCCTGCTGCATACAAACATTACTGCAACAAACGTGACCATACACTACCCAAACAAAGCCAAGAAGGGCAACTTAGCAGTGGCTTTGTTGAACTCAACCCCCTGAGCCAAGCTAGAGATTTAATTAGCCAAATACAGAAGCAAAATTAAATTTGCCTTTTTCATTTTATTAGGAAGAGAAGACTGAGTAGAAGCTTAGCATGATTTATATTTGGTCATGGTCCAACAACCAAAACAAAAGTCCTTTTCAGAGAGGCCAAACATCCTTAAAGAATCACCGAACCATTAAGGTTGGAAAGGACATTTAAGATCGAGTCCAACCTTTGACCTAATCCCAACGTGCCCAGTAAACCATATTGCATATCCACTTGTTTTTTGAACACTTCCAGGAATAGCAACTCCCCCACTGCCCTGGGCAGCCTGTTCCAATGCTTAACCACTCTTTCAGTGAAGAAATTTTTCCCTAATCATAGAATCATACAATACTTTGGGTTGGAGGGGACCTCAAAGCCCATCTAGTTCCATCCCCTGCAATGGGCAGGAACACCTTCCACTAGACCAGGTTGCTGCACATCCTGTCCAGCCTGGCCTTGAACCCCTCCAGTGATATAATAACGTCCAACCTGACAACATTTCCCCTCACCCTAGAAAGAAAGGGGTGTGACATTTCCCATGACCCCCTGGAAGGAATGTACCTTATTATCGTTCCCTCCAGAGGCCAGGAGCTGGTGGTCCGTGGACCATTTGAGCCCACAGACCTCCTGCCTGTGTCCCTGGAGCCGGCGCTCCGACTGCAGGGGCGGGGTGCGGATGTCGCGCTGCAGGATCATCCTGTCCCGGCTCCCGGACGACAGCTGGTCCGCGTTCCACGCCAGGGCACCTGCAGCAGAGACAGAGCTCCAGAGGCTGCTCTAGGAGCCACTGAGGCTGCAGAACACCTCTGAGGTCACCAAGTCCAACCCTCAACTCAGCACCACTGTGATGGTGTTCACAGGGGCTCTTGGATGAGGGAAGAGGCAAGGATCTGACTCCATGTTTCAGAAGGCTTGATTTATTATTTTATGATATATATTACATTAAAACTATACTAAAAGAATAGAAGAAAGGATTTCATCAGAAGGCTAGCTAAGAATAGAATAGCAAAGAATGAAAACAAAGGTTTGTGGCTCAGCTCTCTGTCTGAGCCAGCTGGGCTGTGATTGGCCATTAATTACAAACATCCAACATGGGCCAATCACAGATCCACCTGTTGCATTCCACAGCAACAGATAACCATTGTTTACATTTTGTTCCTGAGTCCTCCCAGCTTCTCAGGAGGAAAAATCCTGAGAAGGATTTTCCTTAAAAGATGTCTGTGACACACCACCGCCACGTTCACCACCAAACCATGTCCTTGAGTGTCACATCCCCATGACCTTTAAACACTTTTCAGGCATGATGACTCCAGCACTGTCTGAGGCAGCCAGATCCCATGATTTGTAACCCTTTCCGTGAAGAAATTTTCCCAGTATCTAATCTTAACCTCCTCTAGCACAGCTTGAGGGCACACCCTCTCATCCCTGGGAGCACAGCCCAACCCCCACCGGGCTCCACCCTCCTGTCAGGAAGTTGTGCAGAGCCAGAAGGTCCCCCTGAGCCTCCTTTTCTCCATGTTGAGCCCCTCCAGCTCCCTCAGTTGCTTTTGGTGCTTCAGTCTCTTCCCCAACTCTGTTCCCTTCTATGGACATGTTCCAGCCCCTCAATGTCTTTCTTGTTGTGAGAGATCTAAAACTGAGTCCAGGATTTGAGGGGGGACCTCAGCAGTGCTCAGCACAGAGGGATGGTCACTGCCCTGGTCCTGCTGGCCACATTATCAAGTCCAACCTTTCCAGTCCTGCAGCAGTTGGTAAGGAAAATGCAGCCATCAGAGCTGCCAGGGTTTAAAAACAAAAAATGCTAACAAACCTCAAACCACTCCTTACAGACCTCCCTTACATCCACTCTCTGGAGTCCTAGGATCAGGGCACAAATAGAGGTTCCCTGAACAGACTGACTGCAGGTATTACCAACCTCACATCATAGTGCAGTAAAGCACAGAAACATTTTGGAATGTGCATGGATTTCCCAAATCTCGCCCCAGAGCTTAGATTCACAACATCTCTGAGTAGAAAAAAACAGCCCTCCAAAAAAGGGAACTGGAAATCTCAGTGTGAAGCTGCCAGCAGATCTGGAAAGTGGAAGCCAGCAGCAGTGAAGAGATGTTGTAACCAAACCCAAAAAGCCTCAAGCAAGGAGGAAACACCTGCTGCAACACCCAACCACCATCACACCGAGATCAGAACACCAGAGTTATGAGATGATAATATTTTGAACCTGCTCAAGAGGACAGCAGGGGATAAATATTAATGCTGGTACTCTGAGTTCTCTATTTCCAGCAGATCCCTGGCTACCAAAGTTCCATCAGGAAGAAGTGACCCCTCAGAGCCCTCTGCATCCCCACTCCTTACCAACTCTGGCTGTGTGTCCCTCCAGCATGGAGAGCTTCTTTCCTGCAGCTGCATCCCAGATCTGTACAAAGCCCTTGTGAGTGCCAACGGCCACCAAGTTTCCCTGCACAAACAGAGAGCCAGGAAGTACAGTCAGAAAACTGAAAGTTGAGGAAAAGACTTGACATAAATCCCACGAGATGGAAAGCATCCAGAGTTCTTCCATTTGACATGTTTTTCCCTACTGAGAGGCCCAAGCAGCCTGTCTGGAATATATTTATTGTAACATTTTATTGTCAAGAGCTGAAGAAGCAAACTGGCTCTTTCTCCCTCCCACTCCTCTTAGCAACGCCTGGAGAACCTCAAGATACAAGAGGCTGCTCTCCATCCCCTCCCTTTTAGCAGAGAAAAACCAGCTCAGGGAGCTAACTACAGCTATGATGACAATGACTATGTGACCCATGTGTCAGCTGTCCCTGCTGACAGTGTCATACTGACCCGCTCTGACCAGCCCACGGATGTCACGGAATCGCCTTCCACAGAGAGGTCACACAGCCGCGTTACCTTCAGAGAGAAGAACGGGGTAAGGAACGTGGCTTTGTCACACTGGCTGTCCCACAAACCAGAGCTGTGCTTGGGATGGAGCGTGACAAGTGCTGAAGCCCTCACACAGCACATTCCATAGCCCTGGAATGCTGGAAAAACCCTGGAAAAACCCTACATCAATGGGCAATTCAATCTTCAGACACTCGTGACCATTTACCTGACTCGTACAAGCACTCCACAGGTAAACACAAGTCCCAAGGCCAACGCTGAGGACATTAAGAGAGGACCAGTCCACCAGGTTCAGGTAGAAGTCATCCTGCAGCTCTGGGGCATCCAGCACTTTGAAAGGAATCTTGGAGATTTTCCGAGTTGGTTTTCGAGGTGATCTTAGCAGCTTCTGACTGTTTACAAAAACAGATAAAAAAACAACTACAGGAATCTGCACATCATAGCAGATGGGAGGCACAGGTGCAGCCATTCTTTATAGAGCACTCTGAAGTTTCTATAGAAATGCAGACAAAAAGGCTGCACAACCCTTTTTCAACAGCAAGATTGGAAGGAATTAGGTTCTGCTTCTACAAAGGAGCTATGAAGCAGAAAGGTAAACTGATTACTGAGAGCTGACCAAGACATGTCAAGCACATAGACAGGTTGGGCACCTGAAGAAATTCTTAGAACTTGACTGTTTTATTTACTATCTCTCCAGATTTCCAAACCCAATTCACCTTTATTTTAGAGCTTTAGGCAGAAGTCCTAGAGAACCTCACTGCACCCTCTGTCTCCTCCATCCCAGCTCTTCCCTTCTTTTAGTTTGCAGAGGATCAGTGTTACCTTTTGTTGCTGACAGGAGACAGGGAATAGGGTGAGACCTCATTGCCATCATCCGGGCTGGAGCGTTTTGTGCTGAGTGAGTACTGCATAAAGAAACACCTCGTGAGGACCCTGGCATGCCCGAGGCCTGGGGCATCACTCCCAACATGCACTGGTGCCAAGCTAATTCCAACACCCAGTTTTTCCTTTCCCAGGTGCTCCAAAACCATACAAAACCCCTCAGCAATGCTCCAAGTCCAAAAGCCTGATATGGCCACTCACCACACTGTCCAAAAAGCCTGGCTCACACAGCTTTCCTGCCAGCACAAACACAGGAAGCACACTGCTTGCTGCACACTCAGGTTCCCTTTGCAGGCCACCACATTTGTTCTCAACAGCTTATCTCAGCCAAGCCACAACACAAACTCACTGCACGAGCAGCCTGGCAGAGCCCTGTGCTCTGGTTCTTGTGCCCCACACACAACCTCCACTGGTGCTAATGCAAGTAACCAACTCACAGTGAAGAGAGATTTCTTCTCTGGGGTGGATGGCTGCAGTCTCCTGTCCTCTGTCTGGGGGTCCTGCACCTTCTCGATCCCTGCTCCCAAGAGTTCATTCTTCAGCAAGGCAGAGTAGGCAAGGCCATCTGTAAACCCAAACAGGCACTGAGCAGAGAGCTCAGAGCAGGAACAGCAGGGAGTATCAGGATCATGTGTGCCTGACCTGGAGAAGGGAAGGCTCCAGGGAGACCTTAGAGCCCCTTCCACTACCTAAAGGAGCTCCAGGAGAGCTGTAGAGGGACTTGGGACAGGGCCTGGAGGGACAGGACAAGGGGGAATGGTTTCTCACTACCAGAGGGCAGGGCTGGATGCCTGGGACAGTGGAATGTGTCCCTGCCATGGCAGGGGGTGGAAGGAGATAGGCTTTGAGGTCCCTTCCAGCCCAAACCAGCCTGGGATTCCATAATAAGGCCTCGATCTTGGCCTTATCACCGAGCAATGCAAGGTAGTCTGGATAGCTCAGTCCCTCTGGGAGACAGAGTGCCTGAATGCCCAGTCAGCTCGCAGCCGGCGCCGCAGGACACCCACAGCGAGCTCAGTGATTGTCATCTCTTGAGTGATTGTCAGCTCTCTTAGGATTTCAGCTCTTTGCTTGCTCACTAGGGCTCCTTTGGCTGAGGCTGAAGCAGACGTGAGAGAGGAGAAGGAGAGGTCCTGGTGCTCCACAGCGAAGGTTTATTGGGGGCTCTGTGAAGGGTTCCAGCGACAGCTCTTCTTTTGTCAAATGGGCTAAACCAGCCCCTTTTTATAGGGTATAGGGGGATCCAAACTTGTCCAATAGTAAGGGTCAGGGAGAATGGCCTATGAGGTTACAGAGATAAGGCTAAGGGGCGAGGGGTTGGAGACAGGAGCTTATTTTGCTGCCTCATCATGACTCAGCAGCTCCTACTGTTAAGTCTCAATCCTCCATGGAGCTCTCACCAGCTCCCTGGGGTCTGCTACAGGATTCCACAACTTGTACTCTCACAGAGTCTCTCAATAAGCCTGGGCCCCCATTTAAAATCAAGGTTAGTAGCAAGTTTCCCCTCCTTCCACTCCAGCAGGAAAGTGATTTCATGACACAATAAACCAAGGCATAGAGACAGCCTCTTGCATCCAGACACCCATCAAAAGCAGTGAGCTGGTACTCACTCATGATGTGGGCATTTCCCAAAACACCAGCATCAGTTTTGGCATAAGAATGAAAATGCCAGCATGGCCTTAACTTCCCCAGCAGTTTGCAGTCAGAGCTCTGGGCACTGCCAAGCAGTAGAAGGGTGGTCTCACCTTTGCCAGTGTCTGATGTAGCATCCTTTGCTTTTCTGTTTTGGCTTGGTGATTTTTCATTTTCCTGAAATGGAGAAACATGCCATCACCATACAGAAACCTCAGGGTATATGGTGAAATAGCAACTGCAGGGAGCATAGGGTTTGAGGACACACATCAGTGGAACTCTTCTGGGGCTGCAGAAGAGCATGGTGCAGAAGGTAAGCAGAACAACCATGCCAGCCAAAACAAAAGTACCACTTCCTCGGTTCCAAGGCTGAGCTGTAGGAGAAGGGAGCAAAACTTACATTTATTCTGTGGAAGTTGATGCTCCAGTTGGCCCCAGCTCTTGAGGGAATGAATCTGTCACCATGCTTACTAGGAGAAGACATTGGAGAATTGGAAGGTGTCAAGGTTCTTCTCATCTCTGCTACCTGAATTAAAGAAAAAAAGACACTGAACTTACTCTTGTCAAGCTTTAGAGTTGGTTAGTTTGTTAGGCCTCAATTGTTTATGTTACACGCGTAGTTGCTGAGATTATGTATTAAAAAGGTATTACTGAACTCCACAAAAATATCTTCACCCCTTTTTGCAACCTGAACTGAGGTTATATATTCAAAAGCTCTCTTTAAGTGAAGCTATTTGGGTATTCATAGAACAGCTGAGGAGTTCACACCTGCTCACAACACAACAAAAGACTGTGGTTTGCTTTGAGGAGGTGCCAGGTCTTTCAAAAGCTCAAGGAAAACAGTCACAAGTGAGACAGTCAACATAACAGTGAGCCTGAGCCCATCTGTACTCACACAAGGCATTGTGTTCTCGTTCTGTATGTTGATTTGGCGTAGGAGACGTCTCTCATAGTCCTGATCCATGGTGGAAGTGGCTGGAGAGATCAGCCGGCTCAGGAATTTATGTTTGTGAAGTCCAAGCAGTAACTAGTGTGCTGCAACAGACAGGAGAGAACAACAAAATGTTACACTCTTCCCTGCTGAAACAGCCTCCCCAAAGTCTCCTAAGCCTGTTCTTTGAACTTGAGACTACTTTTCCTATCCAGAGCATTGGTGCCAAACTTGTGTGACACTGAAGAATGCAGGCAGCCGGTATTTTGTGTCTGACAGGATCTCAGCCAGTCCCCACCCCACCTGGAGCAGGGACTGCCCCCGGGCCCTGCAGCAGAGTTTGGCAATCCTTCAGAACAAGGGCATGAAGATTCCAGAAACCTGCAGCCTGTCCTGTCCAGGCACTGGCACCAGCTGCACAGAGAGGTGTGGCTGCCCTATTCATAAAAGTGTTCAAGGCCAGGTTGCACTGGGCTTGGAGCAACCTGGTGTACTGAAGGTGTCCCTGCCCATGGCAGGGGGTGGAATGAGATGGGCTTTAAGTCATTTCCAACCCAAAACACTGTGAGATTCTGTGATCCCACTGCTCAGGTAAGGGGTACAGGAGCAGTGCTGAAGGTAGGATGCTTTTAGCCATGCCAGAAGTACTGCAGACTTTTAACACCACCCACTGGAGAAACACACTAGGCACACTAGGCATCTAGTAGTCCAATGAACATTCCATGTCTGATGCCTGCACTATCCCAAATACTCCTCCTGGCTGGCACAAAGCTTGCTCACTCATACAGCTATACAGTCTATAAGCAATATTAACATCATTTAAGCACATATTTTAAGCATACATTTTAGGACAGAGCTGCTTCATAGTTGAGATTTGCCTGGTAAATTAACATGTGCATCAATAAAAAATAGATGAGCTGACACTTGTGTGAGAATACACAGTCACAACCCCTGCCAAGCCCCAAGGGCAGAGAGCAGCACCCCCAGGGTCCAGCCTTACCCATCACACACCTTGTGTGCCTTGTCCACAGCTGACATGGGCACAAAAACACCAGAGGAGATTGGTCAAGTTGGTCTTTCAACCCAAGATAAACATGTCCAAAGGCAAAGGTACAGCTAACACATAAGCAAATTCCCACAACACACAGGCATCTGGAGGCTGTGCAGAACATAAAGAGATTTTCATTCCTGTTATTGCATAAACATTTATGGCACCTGGCCAGAGTCCCAGCTACACAAATGGAGGCGCCTCAAGATACAAACTTGTGGTAGAATCTCAGAGGCAACTGCACACAAAGCTGTGCTGGGAGGAGGCTGCCCAGGGAGCAGCTGCACAGTGCCCCACTCAGGGACAGCCCTGCACTGCCTCCCACTCCCTCCTGGGAAAAAGCTGCCTCCAGGAGCCACAGACCTGCCCAGGGCTTAACAGTTAAAAACTCAGGGCAAGTCACCAAGCTGCAAGGGGTCCAGCAGTACACGCTGCAGTTCAGTAAGATGTGATGAACTTTTACAATACTCTATGAAATAAGCTTGAAAACAAGGCAAAGCACACGGACTCCACACTACAGAGCTGATGGCCCTGCACCTCAGAAAGTTACAGGAAATGGGGGGACATCAAGGTGGTGACCACTGGGGTTCCAAGGGCTCCACCTTAGGGCCAGTTCTCTCAAATGTCTTTGTAAGTGACTTGGGGGCAGGACTGGAAGGTCCTGAGTAGGTTTGCCCGGGAGCAACTGCTGACAGTCTCAAGGGCAGAGAGGCCACACAGAGAGACTGACAAATGTGAGGACTGGGAAATCCCCAGCCGTGTGGTGTTTACCAGGGCAAGTGCTGGATCCTGCCCTGGGATGGGGCAGCCCTGGATGCAGGGACAGACTGGGAATGAGAGGCTGGAGAGCAGCGCTGTGGGAAGGGCCCTGGGGGTCCTGGTCAGGGGCAAGTTGGATCTGAGTCACTGCTGGGCCCTGGCAGCCCCAAGGGCCACCCTGTGCTGGGGGCACCAGGCCCAGGGAGGGATTGTCCCACTCTGCTCTGCCCTGGGGCAGCCTCACCTCCAGTGCTGGGGGCACTTTGGGCACCACGAGATCAGAAGGACCCAAAGCTGTTGGAGAGTGGCCAAAGGAGGGACACGGAGCTGGGGAAGGGCTGAGGAGCAGCTGAGGGCACTTGGCTGGTTCAGCTGGAGCCCAGGAGACTGAGGGGAGGCTCCTGGGGGCTGCAGCTCCTGCCCAGGGCAGGCACAGGGGCAGGGGCTGAGCTCTGCTCTGGGACAGGGACAGGAGCCCAGCAAGGGCTGGAGCTGGGCCAGGCCTTGGCATGGAGCTCAGGGCAAGGTTCTTCCCCCCGAGGCTGCTGGGCACTGCCCAGGCTCCCCAGGGAATGGTGCCAAGGCTGCCACAGCTCCAGGAGCTCCCAGGGCTGCTCAGGGTGGGGTTCTTGGGGTGGCTGGGCAGGGACAGGGGCTGGGATCAATGATCCCTGAGGCTCCCTTCCAGCTCAGGAGATCCTGTGGTTCTTTGAGCCATGCCATTTTTCAGTACCAAAACTTGGGACTTTTTACAAATGCTAAAATGCTTTTCTTCCTTAACATTAAGCATGCCAACACTTTTACAGGAGCATCCCTGAAATAGACAGTGCCAAGCTGGTTCTGATCACACCTGCTTACCTCTACCACCTCCTCCCCCAAGCTTTTCTCTTTTTTATTTTAACACATTACTCCCATATGTTCTTTCAGCGTCAAAACTGGAGAAAGCTCCCAAATTTAACAGAGATCAGCTTCCACCAAATGAAGCAGAGTCAGAGACGACATAATTGCAGTGAAAAGTTAGAAAAGTCTGTGATGCTATTAATAAAGCAGATTTAGAAAATAAAAATTAGTGCATGCCATATCAAACACTCTCCCTCGTTTTGAAGTTTACTTACCACCACCCTCACCGACCCACAAGCTACCAAATGTGTGTCTCAAATGAAACAGTTCAACAAAATGCCCCCTCCCCCCTTTTCTTTTTTTGGGGTGTTGTTGTTTTAACACCATGAGTAAGAGAGCTCAGCCTGCAGAACCCACACGGGGAGCGTGATCAGCCAGGGAACACCACACATTTAAGTGTTCTCCCAAAATGGCTCAGCACAGTATTCGTGAGATCCAGATCCAGTTACACAGCAAAGAGACATTTTAAATTCTGCATCTGAAACACATTTGACTATCAAGCTTTCCAGTTCCCATCTGCCCAAATTTCACCTACAACTTTCACTCAGAAACACAGCACAGATTGTTCAACAGAGAGACCGCAGAGGCAGAACACAGCAGTGAATGTTCAGCACCTGAACAGTGACATGTTTTTACCCCAAAACTTGTGCCACTAACAAGCCCAGGGAGCAAGCAGCACCTCTGGTTTGTGGTATGCTCTTGCTGTCTCTAAATTTGTCCATGGGAAGTGAGTGGAAGTGAGTCCATTTCCCCCAAATCAGGTACAAAAGGCGTTGCCAGAAGGACTTGGGGGTGTTGGTGACAGCTGCTCAACATGACCTGGTGTGTGCCCAGGTGGGCAAGGCAGCCAATGGTCATGGCCTGTATGAGGCACAGTGTGGCCAGCAGGACCAGGGCAGTGACCATCCCCGTGTGCTGGGCACTGCTGAGGCCCCACTCAAATCCTGGCAACAGTTCTGAGCCTCTCCTAAGAGGGCTGGAACATGTCTGGAGAAGAATGGAGCTGGGGAAGGGGCTGGAGCACCAGGAACAGCTGCAGGGAAGCTCAGGCTGGAGAAAAAAGAGGTTCAGGGGAGACATTCTTGCTCTCCACAACTCCCTGACAGGAGAGTGCAGCCAGGTGGGGGCCAGGCTGTGCTCCCAGGGAACAAGGGACAGGACAGGAGGAAACAGCCTCAAGCTGTGCTAGGGGAAGTTTAGGTGGGACATCAGGAGGAATTTCTTCATGGAAAGCATGATCCAACACTGGCACAGGCTGCCCAGGGCAGTGGTGGAATCCCCATCCCTGCAGGGACTTAACAGCTGTGTGGATGTGGCACTTGGGGACATGGCTTAGTGGTGGCCTTGGCAGTGCTGGGGGGATGCTTTGAGTTGATGTTAGAGGGCTTCTCCAGACTAAATGATTCTGCAAGCCAATGATATGTGGGCTTGAAGCTCCCTTTAAGTTGAAGAAATAAAAGATCTTGAGGAGCTACATGTGTTACATATTCTTCAGACACTATTTTGTCACTAATTATGCAGTTTATGCTTGGAGAAGAAAGGTGGGATTTGGTGGAAGGGTTTGGATCTCATGAGAAGAATTTGTATTCTGACTTTATGTTTGTCATGCACCTTCTGTCCTGTCTCTGAATTGGCTGGATTCTCTCACAGCTCATTACCTTCAGAACAATACTTACAGGCAGAGTTACAGTGCTGAACAAGTGCCTTTTGTTCTTTTTATTGACCCAACCTTCATGCATTCAAACACAAAGTGTTTTTTGTTGGTATGGCATGTTTTTAATAAGCCAGCATGCAGAACACCAGGCCTGGCAGGGAAACAAGGGCAGTAATTTTGCAAAATTATTTCTGTGGTTTGAGGCAGGCTGTACCTGTTTGGATTCTCCAGCACACACTGAAGGAAGTGTAAGAGATGCAGGTTGGTTCTGTCAATTCAGACATGCTCTGCTCAAGGAGTTCAAGAGCTGGATGATTCCTGACCCTTTTTTATTCCAGAAATTGTTCATCTGCCTTCTCTTCTGGAAGGTATTTGGGTGGGTAAGTGTTTAACACAAGAAGCGCTGATGAAAGTGAGAGACTTGGAATACCAAAGACAGGATGTAAATGTAAATGTAGATGTAAAGCTGAATATATTTCCTAATTTACACAGGGCCAAGGGGGGGGGGGTAAAGGATGCCTTGGTAACTTCAATACCATCAATGTTATGTTGATGCTTTATTTTGAAGCATTTCAGGTCTGAAAAAGGTTGCCTGGAGCTTTTCTTACTAGTGAGTCCTAAATAGACCCCAAATTTATAGTCAGCAGGTGCCTGCCCACACCCAGAGATGCTGCCTGCTCTTTGGGCCTGTATGAAATGGCAGAGGCTTTAAGGTAAAAATACATCACTACTCAGGTGTTGAA